GTACTGGACATCTTGGAAAACAATTTTAAACAATATACTATAACGCACGCCACACAAACACGCAAACGACTGATTACAACCCTGTGCTGGTACCGAACTCGTAGCAAGAAGGCGAATTCACCAATGAACGCTGCCCTTTCCATCTGACACTGGGCGATCACGTGAACATCACGCTTCGGTTTTGTTTTGTTTTACTCTATCTTGGATTTGGATAGACTTTTTTTATTGTTTTTTGGTATTCGTTGAATAAAGCGGTGTTCTGAATTGGGAAAATAAGAACAGGAACATAGACGTATTTTCGGTAATAATAAGAGAAGATGCTTGATTGAGAAAAAAATAAAGGAAATTGCATCTCAAAAAGGCACTTTTAGTATTAATAGTAATATCGTTACGTATGACACTCTAAATGAAAGGGGATGGGGGCTGAGTTGAAAAAAGAAAGACTAACGTCACTACCATTCCAAAAACATGTTCTTGTCTCAAAAAATACACGAATATAGGAAATCATTAATCTTCGGATGAACGATGATTGTGTCGTAGATGACCAATTATGATTCGTAATAGCGACCACGTGAAACAGCAATAAATTTCTTTCTAAATTGTTACAATAAAAAAATGTTTGCCTGTAGACTGTAGTATAAGCGTCATATCGATTTTGAGTGAGTGGGTTTCGGGTTTCAATCGAAAAATATAATTTTATTCTTCAATCAACTTGCAAAGCACCAGACTGTCAGAGAGGTGGGAATCCGACTGTGGATAGAAGGATGGTTTGAGGTTCAAGCATGGGAATTGAAGGGAACCATGATTTTTGGTCAGTTTAGTGATATATAGGCGGCTATTTACTATATTTTGTACATGTACAATCAAATGTAGCATTTGTTAATGACATTGGAAACAAAAAATATTTGTTGTGGATACCTAATCTTCCCATTAATATGGGAAGATTAGTTCAATATACTGTAAATTTGAATTCCTTATTTCTTCAAATGCTTTGTCATGAACATTCGATGTTTTTAATTTTCCATGTTTTGGTTATAAACAGAGATGGTAATGAGGTATATAATTAAGAATAGAAAAAAATGAAGTAGAGTCATTTTCAAAGAACGGTTTGAGGCTAGAAAAAATTGTGAAGGAATGAACACGAATGGACGCACAATAGAAAAACCTGAAATATTTCATCTGTTATGAAACTCTAATACGAGGGTGGTCTGAAAAGTTTCCGACATCAACATGAAGATAGCAGCACTCGTAAATAAAAGCTAGTGAATTTCGTTGTTCATCTGTTGACAGTGACTCACCAAAGTTTCAGCCATTTTGAACGTTTGAACGCGCATTTCATATGTAACAGCCGTTTGAGTGAAAATGAATAAAACCGAGTATGGAGCTCTCATTGAATATTTGATTTTGAAAGGCAATACGCTCACGCAAATCAAAGATGAGTTGAATTCTGTACATGGGGACTCTGCAGTATCATTTACTACAGTGAAATTTTGGGCAGCTGAATTTAAACGTGGTCGTGAGAGCATGAAAGACAATGAACGTTCGAGACGTCAAAAAACTGCAACTATCGACGAGAACATCGCCAAAGTTCACTAAATTGTGCTACATGACCGCCAAATTAAAGTGAGAGAGACAGCAGAGGTTATGAACATGTCAAAAGAACGCGTTTGTCACATATTTAATCATTATTTAGGCATGAGACCGCAGTCCGCACCTTGGGTGCTGCGTTTGATCACGTTACACCAAAAACGTGTTCGAATTAAAATTTCCAACGCTCTATTGGCGCAGTTCTGGCGCAATAAATCCACAAACCACTTACTCTAAGTAGTTTGTGAATAAATCCGAGTTTTGGCGCCGATTGATCACTGTAGTTGAAACTTGGATACACTATTATACTCCCGAAATGAAAATACAAACCAAACAGTGGACTGCAAAGGGAAAACCTCCCCAAAAAAAGCAAAAACTGTTTTTTCGGTTGGGAAAGTGATGTCGACTGTTTTTGAAATAATAATGGAGTTATTTTATTAGATTATCTTCGAAAAAAACCATTACAGAAGCATAATACGCATCACCTCTTGACAAGCTGAATGCAGAACTTGCGAAAAAAGGACCACATTCGCAAAAAAAATCCTGTTTCACCAAGACAAAGCACCGTATCACACCTCAGCGGTTGCCATGGCGAAAATCCACGAATAACGGTTTGACCACCCCTCTACTGAACAGCCCCAAACGATTCGTTTTTGTTCCCTCATCGTCGAATGAAGAGGCAATCACCTTCATGAACAATTATTTTGCAAAGAAAAACGCCGAGTATTATTTGGACGGGTATCAGAGATGAGAGCATCGTTGGGAGAAGTGTGTAGAGTTGAAAAGAGAAGGACAACAGCATTTGTCAATTTGTTTTTNCAAAGGAGGGTGCTGCAAGCGTCTTCATTGGACCAGAACCTGTCATTGGTATCGCTTTGGGCTTTGCCAAACACTTAACACCTGGATGGCAAGAAGAGTTATGGACTTCCGGCAGAATCTTCCAGGATTGGCTCACTCCCTTCGAAGCTTGATTCCAAACAGTTGTTGGACTACAGTAGGGATGAACTACGATGTCTAACAGGCCTTCTTATAGGTCACTGTCATTTGAATCATCATATGCAGAAGCTGTCGGAAGACAGTGTGTCTGTCTGGAAAATTATGAAACTGCAGAGCATATACTTTGTGCCTGCCCCGCTGGGGACCGAATCAGGTTCTTTGAGTTCGGCAGATCCGTACTCTCACCATCTGACCTGAAAGACCACTCACCATACAAACTAATCGGCTTCGTAAAGAAGCTGGGTTTACTTGACCGAGTGTGAATAGGTGTGAGCCACAATAAACCCTTATGGGTTGCGGTGGAGGGTCGAATAGACCCACTCACTTTAGACCTACCTACCTACCTCATGTTGATGATATATACACTACCTTGCACCGAAACCGGTCTGCATGTGTGTTCCAATACACAGATGATTTGATTTATAGCCAGTCTTCAAGTATACCCACTGACTATATGTGAAAACTTACAAATTATATTTATTCCTTAATGATATAGTGTGTACATCATTTTTCATTAGTCCATATTTATCTAACACAAACAAACTGAATGGTTTACTCACTCGAGGCATGCCACGTATAATTGTCCTTGTGAAAAACATTGTGTACTCTAATCCAAACGACAAACGCAAATGGAAATGGGGAATGTTCCTCAATTTGGGTTATTATAGCAAATTCAAGTTTGAACAAAATAAAGTTGAGTTTAATTCATGAGTTTTTCAAATTCACTTCGAAAAGTATTCAAATTGATGTTTCAAATGTTGGGTTTTAATTTTTAAAGGGATTTGTTTCTAATTCACATATTGGCAACAGCGCCTATATCAAGTTGAAATGATTTATACGTACCTANTGTCGAAGCCAGCATTTCAAATGGCAAGTTCCGAAGTGAAAATATATTAATACCACGAATCTTTATTATACCTACAGATGTGCCAATTCATTTTAAACGTGTGCAATTTCCAATTAGATAAGCATTTGCAATCAAACAAGGCCAAACAATATCCGTTTGTGGCTTGGATTTGAGCACACTATGATTTTTCACACGGACAATTATACGTGGCATACTCTTGAGTGGACAAACCATCCAGTTTATTTGTATTAGCTAAACATACACTAACGAAACATATTGTGCACACTACAGCGTTCGGAGATTGATATTATTTGTAAGTGTATTAATTCTGTCACACACTTACTTATTTTATACCCTAGACATTCCCTAGAAACAATTTATGTTACAAAACAATGTTTGCCATCTTTGATTAAGCGTCTAAGCGCTTCCTATCTTTAGATTTAAATAAAATAAAGTGTGTTTAAGATATCATCGAAATTGTTTATTCATTTGAAAGACCCAATTTTCCATTACTCTGGCGCATAAATCAGGCTGAATTTGACCGGTGGCATGGGTTGTGTTGGTTTTGAGAACCGATGTGGTTTGTAGCTTATTCGCATACACCTGCGGCTTGAGAAAACCTCACAAGAACTGTTCGTCGTCCTCAATTCGAAAATTTCGTTTGTTCACGTACTCATTCATCTAGAAATGGGCCTCATCGCTGAAGATAATTTTCGATGGAAATTAGGTCAGTTGCTAACTGCTCCAGAGCCCATTCAGCGAACATATGTCTATGGTCGTTTACCTTCAGTTCTTGGGTCAGTTGAATTTTGTATGGGTGCTGGCCAAAGTCACAAAGTCACGCAAAATTCACCAAGTAATTTTCTACGAAAAGCCGAGTTACTGTGAGCGACACGAAAACGACTGCCTCGGATTATCCTGCCCCCTCTCAGACAACGACGATGTTTTCGGCAGATCTTGCGTTTTGTCGACGTACGGGTGTTGGTCGATCACTTGCTGAACCAGTAGACTCAAATTTATCTACCACATTGCGAATATTCCTTTCGGTAGGACGATTATGGCGACCGTAAAATGGGCGAAGCGCTCGGACCTTGCCCGAACACCCATTTTGATAAAACAATTTTATTGTTTGCCCGTGATGTTGAATGCTTTATCCGTCCATGGTGATTTGGCAAAACAGACTGAATAAATGATAACCAATTTGGCAGATGTAGCTTCCACAAGATGGCCGTTATTGATTGTCAAAGTTTGAAAATTCCTGTTGGCGTGCAGCAATATTTAATTTTTATTTCTCAATTCAACATCGCCTCACTTCTCATAAGACATGCCTCACATTAGGATCCGGCAATTAATATCGGAGATACGGCACTGGTCAAGGTCTCGCTCTGAGATGTGAAAATGTATAAAATGATGATCCAAAAGCAAAAGGTTGGGCTTTTGTGCCTGGTCAGGCCCTTTTCTAATTCATTTTCAATTTACATTTTTTATATATTGCTGATTTCTCAAGAATTATTTTTCAGGTACTATTGGTCCAATTTCTGTTGCTGTAGAAGCTACTTTATGGCAATCATATGGTGGAGGAGTCTTTGATAACCCTAACTGTACTGGTTTCAACCTCAATCACGGTACTTTATCTGTTGGATATGGAATTGCGAATGAAAAAGAATATTGGTTGATCAAAAACTCTTGGGGAGTTTCTTGGGGAGAGGAGGGTTACATTCGATTAGTGCGCAACAAATATAGCCAATGCGGAATTGACACTTATGCAACTTACCCAAGGATGTAGACATAGATTGATAATATTTTTGAACACCTCATATGAATTATTTTATTAAAATATTGTTATAGTTTTCAAATAATAAAAAACATAACATAGTCACTTGTTACAGAATGAGAGAAAGAGACACAAAAAACATATTTTTTTGTTGAAGAAATCAGTTCATGTCAACAAAGTTTAATAGCTTAACAATATTGAAATTGAAGTTACAATTCAAATAAAATCCATGGATCGCTCGGACCCGCGGAAAACCTTCACTTTCACCCCCTCGGCAAGGTGAAAATTAATTCAATTAATGTTTTCCACCTTTTGAAATTTCGTGAAGTGGGTTTTCCTGAAAAAAACGTTATCAACAAATCTGAGAATAAAAGAACGTAAAATTTATTTTCAGTTTTAATTCTAATTTTTCAGGGTGTAGCCAGCTCGATTTCAATTTAAGAATTTCCAGACTTTACCTCAGTGACCTTTCTACATGTATTATTATCTACTCGATGCTGGTAATAAACGAAGTTTTTGTCGATCTTCCATGACCATTCCATTAACCATGACCATTTCGGATTATTCTGCCCAAAATGGTTAATTCAACTGCAGAAAGAGTATCGATAATTCTACCTCGTGATGAAAATGTTAGGTGCGCTAATACTAGCACATTTGTTTATTGACCAAAATTTGGATGAGCATCTTGACTGAAAGTACGTCATCACTGACGACTTACAGATGAAATATTGGTGGCAAATCAAAAGGAACCCCTGGAGTGAAATAATGAGAAACGATGCGCTAAAGAAGTTGCTGTATTGAACCACGTTGGTATCTGTCCTGCATTAGGTACCAGGCGATTATCTACAGTGCGCATCATAAGTGTAACCCCCCCCCTACCTAACTCGTTACTGGACTCTTGTTAGGAAAATCGCCAAGACACGAGGATTTTTTATTTCTACAGTGTACATTTCTGTATAAATAGGTCACCCCTTATTTCATCCCTTACTGGAGGGGAGCAACCCTGTCGAAAAATGTATATAGAAGGGGGGGTTTTATTCTCTATTCAACCGATCACAGGAAGGCACAAACAGGAAGGCAACTAAACTAACACTAACTTTTTCTGTTATTATATTAAATGTTCAAAATATTCCCCGTAGACCTCCTGTCATAAATAGAGTCTATTTTTAGTTTCAGTCCTGACGCTTTGCAAAGCATCGCGACTAATTGTTGCACATACTTCCGTAATCCGCGCACGCAACTCCTGAATAGAATAACACTGGGTCTCGTAGACTTTAGATTTTAAGTAACCCCATATGAAGAAATTTAAAGGAGTTAGATCTGGTGATCTTGGAGGAGATTCCACAGATCCTCGGCACTCGATCCATCGTCCAGCCTAAACAGTGTTCAAATAAGTCTTCACAGCAACTGCAAAATGTGGTCACCCAATATTCCTACCCACACAATATCTTTTTGGGAAAACTGGTTATGAGTTTCGCGAAAAAGTCGAGGATTTTCATCGGACAAGTACCCCACAGTTTGTCTTTGCACGTGACCGTAAAAAAGTAGCCTCATCACTAAAACAAATGTATTTCAAATAGCTGGTGTTTTGCTAAATATCGTTAGAGACAATTTCACAATATTCCAGACGGCTATCATCGTCCGTCAGTTCATGCACCATTTTTATTTTGTAGGGATGAAAATTATTTTTTTTAGAACTCTCAATACCGACATCTGCGAAACCTCCCAATTCAAGGCAACAGTTCTATCCGGTGAGGACGGATTATTCACAAACTCGCTCATAATGTCCACTTGTTTATCTTTCCCCCAGAACGTGTTTTATTTTGCCGTTCTCATATAATTTTTCCACTAACTGTTTGAAATAATGTCCATCAAGAGGGCGATCTGGAAAACGTTCATTGAACATCCATACAGCTTCATGATAATTACGATGAGCATCACCAAAAATAAAAATCGTTTCGCTTTTCTCATTTAACGCACGTGGTGCAACCATTGTTTGAAGATGAAAAAGTACAACTAACAGCTAGAATACAGACCACTCTCCATGATATCAGTTTCTTGTATTGACCATTTATCCTCAAATATCCAAAAAAAAACTACAAAAACGTGCAGTTAATATCTACGATTCTACGCAAATGACAAATACGTCTCACTTGACGTCTGAACCAAAACCGATATCATTCAGGGCCGAATTTTCAATTCTAAGGGTAATTGCGCTACGTTAATTGTCGTTATTCTTAAACAATTATAACTCTTGAATTATTGTAGCAATTTCAGATTCCTTTGCACGGTTGAATAGACAATAAAACCCCCTATCAAATGAGCTACCACTCACTACCCCATGCTATTGAAATTTTTCGAAAGAGTGGCTCTCATCCAGTAAAAGGGAGGAAATTAGGTGTGAACTATTCATACTACTATACAGGGTGTTCCTTAAACACATGCTAATATTTAAGGAGGTAATTCTTAGACTCATTTTAAGGAAAAAACGTCCTATGGACGTATGTCCTAAACGAAAAAAACTGATTATTTTTGAAAACTTTGCCACCCTGTATCTTAAAAGTTAAGGCGTTTAGGACATACGTCCATAGGAAGTTTTTTTCTTAAAATGGGTCTAAGAATTACCTCCTTAAATATTAGCATGTGTTTAAGGAACACCCTGTATATTCTAAGGTAACGAGTTAGATAGGGGGGAGGGGTAACACTTATAATGCGCACTGTATAGTTTCTAGCATAAGTTGTACGAGTATTCGAAGAATTCTGAAATTCCATAAATTGATCTCCTATAAAATTTATCTTTGCACGAATTAAATGGAGTTGACAAATGATGAAAGTTTAGAATTTTGCGACTTGATGAGTGAACCTATAAAAAGATTTCTGAATTGACTGTTCAGCATTTTTTTCTCAGACGAGTGTTGGTTTTTGTGAACGAGACTATTTATCGTCACAATTGTCGGCATTAGTCTAATGAAAACCCTCACTTATTCCGCGAAGTTCATGCTTAACATCCTGAGAAGCTAAATGTATGAGCTGTATATCCCACATTTGAACTCTCACTATGCTTGCTGTTCGTGATTATTTGAATGAAACCTTACCGGGTTGGTGAATCCAAACACCACCTTGATACAAGTCACAACATCGATTTTTACAAAGGTGCAAACAGATCGCAACTATAGAGCACCATAAAACCAGGATCATAAGGGAGGCAATCGAAATTGAGAAGATCGGCAGTCTCAACAAGAGAGACCATGCACACTACCTCTCAGCTGCATGGAAACCCATCATATCCAAAACTAAGGCCAATACACCACCAACATCAATGTGACTAGTCGAGCGAGCAACATTACACCACTCATGTACCCCAGCAACCAACCAAAACACTTCCCACCAATCATGCAAAACGCCGACCAATCAGGACACTCCACGCTACAATTACATCATTGTTATGAAAAGTAGAGTCATCAGAAAATAAAATGGAATCCAAAAATGTTCATCCTCACTAAACGTGTTGAGAACTCATAAACAAAACTTGATTCGTCGATTGATACGATACTGGTGAAATTTGTATAATTTTATTACCTTAGAAATGCTCCGTCTGCTTATCCTTGTATCTTTCTCGATCTTAGCTGACTCCTATAAAGGTTTTTTTTCTATGATTGATCCCATAATAAAACATTCATTTTCCTCATTTCCAATGATAGGTTTTGGTATATTTGCCTTTTCAAAAACTACACTTCCAGTTCTACGAAATTTATGTAGCAATCGTTTGAAAACAAACTTGTTTGGATGATTCCCGTCTGGATATTTTTCTTCAACTCTTCTTCGAGTCTTCGACTCCAGAAGACAATTCTCTAAACACCCATCAATCGCTCAAATCATATCTATCCACCCCTGAATGGGATAAATTTTTATTTTCAACAGTACTAATTCAGTGAATGTTTTGAATAACGTAAATCACAATAATTGGCAATGAGAATTCTTTCAACCAGTTGAATAATTGTCGTTTCAAAGCTATCTTGATTCAAAGACTGCATTGAAATGAGAACTTCCTACTATTTAAAAAAGCCAATATCTGAAAAACTATTTAGGTTAGGTATAGGGAATCCCGAAACTATATGGAAGGTCATTGAATTTTATATTATTCAGACCAAAAATACGGGCTGTTCTATTTGAAATAACAAAGTTATCTTTGTCCTCAATAATAATAAAGTGACAATGATTTTTAACATTCTGTATAATATTGAGAAAAGGGTTTTATCGAAATCAATAGCGTAAAACCTCTTTTATGACTGGTCAGAATTCGAAGAGATGGTTTATATGCATTTCGATGTTATTTACTTTCCAATTGTACCTACCATTTGAATAAAAAAATCAATAACCCGAGAACGGTTATAGTTAGATACATAGTACCTCTTATGAAATCATAAAAAACACAACTTCGATATGTCACACTTTTTTGTAGACTCCAAAATAATTTCATTTTGCAGCATTAGGTAATCAGTATACATATAATGGAATGAAGGAATTCCAGGAAAAATTGATGGTTTGGTTTACAGGGAACGTGTCGTATGAGGAGCCCCACCATGTATATATACAGTAAAATGGATTGACGGGGTCTCTCAGTCAAAAAATCAAAACTCTGCTCTATTTTGCCAAGCTTTCGCTTTTAATAGGAAGCTTTTTCAGGGCAGTAAAAATGAGTGAAAAAATAAATTGACAATATAAATTGATGAAGAAAGTTAAACATGTATACATGTTGAAAACGAGCCACCCGGAATGAACTTCTACACAATATGTTACCTAGGTTTCATAGGTGTTTCTGTAAGTATACTTCAAAAAAATCTTATTTCGCCTAGTTAGGTTTGAACTTGAGATGTACTGTTTGGAACCTTTGGTGTAGTAATATTACTGGAGTTTTTTTTTCCAACACCAAACCGTTATTTTAACACCTCGACACGTGTTTCGATAGTTTGATCTTCCTCTTGAAGATGATTACTTGGTGATAACGACAGTACACCTCTTATTGAAGAAAAAATCATGGCAGCAGTGTAACGTGCATTGAGTGAAGTATACAGGGTGTCTCAAAATACATCATGTGAGAAAAAACATGGTGTCAATGTGTACGAGGTGTGGCAAAATACATCATTTAAGAAAAAACATGTCGGTTTAACGAGAGTGTAGCGTTTCAACGTGCGATCCCGATGAGAAACGTATATTTATTCAAAAGTGTCAGGGAGTTACGTGTTGACGAGTACCTTCGAAGGTGCGGCAAAGGGGGGGAAGCGAAGTATTCAGCAACGACATTTCAAAATACGTTGTTCTACATGCGTTTCAACTGTTTTGCGTGGGTTTATTCGTTTTCGTCTTCGTTTTGGTTGTCGTTTTCGTGTTTGAATAATTGTACACCAATAGTCAGTTACATTCAACATGAGATTGGAAGAAAAACAATGTTAGGTACGTAGATGGTAAACAAAAATTAATAATATAATGGATCCAGGGAATGCAGGGAATACATTAAATAAAGATATTCAATTTTAGTAGGAAATAGTTTTGAAGCAGTTGAATAATTCAGATATTCAAGACAAAGTGTTCAATTGAAAATTATCTCAAACCAGATATCCACAAAGATATGCCACACCTTGTTCACTTCGACATCATGGTTTTTTTCTTAAATGATGCATTTTGAAACACACTGTACACATTGAGGTGTCGCACGTTGAAATGTTACTGCCTCGTTAGTGTCATAATTTTTTCTTAAATGGTGTATTTTTACCACACATGCCATGATTTTTCTTCAATGATGCATTTTGAGACACCCTGTATACTCCACTCAAGGCCCGTTACATCGCCGCCATGTTTTTTCTTTAATCTGATTTTTTATTCAACATTATTATTATTATTTCACTTTCGCGCTTCTGATATTTTCATCTAAATTCATTTTTATAATTCAACCACTCTCTTACCTTTGAATCTCTCCGATATCCATTCCATATTTCTCTGCATTGATCTTTTTCCCACTCACTAACGTCTCTCTGAAACACTTACCAATGACGCGCGACCTTGAAGTGGGCTCAAACATACCTTGTACCCCTACTGCTGCATATTAATATTGAAATACATTCGAGATATTTTTTATAAATAAATACATTTCACATTTTTTCGTCTCTAAATGAAAAACAAGATATCTACTTCTCAACTGTCTGCCATGACAGTACAGAACATGTATTATTTATCAATAGAAATATGATTACCTATACTATAACAATTTTCAATTAAAGGTGATTCATTAGCAACGTCGCACTTGAAGTGACCAACGGATAATCCTCTTACCAACTGTGCAAAGGCGTACCAAAATATTATTTTTATTTATTTAAACACATAGATAATTATGTAAAAATTGTTATAGTAGGTGGTGCTACCTGGTGTCAATAGTAAAACCTTTGTATATAGACTAACCGTAAAACTGATTACATTTTCTTATTATGCCTAATACAGTACTTCAAAAAAACAGAAAAATTTACAAAATAATTATTATGTTCCTTTATATAGGAAGAGAATTACAAAGCAAAGAAATAATTACCTATGTTATGCTCATGAAGTTTCAGATTCCATTGACTCGTCCGAAGAGGAATCCCCAGTCACACTTAAATCTATTATTATTTGGTCGAAAACAGTGTATACCATCCCGTCCAATCTCCACATTTTCTCTTCTTCCTTGATCACATAGGCTACAGCATTAGCCCAATCTTCTTTCCGTATCCGTTCCATTGCAAGTTCTAATAAACGTTGGACATCAGAAATTTTATATGTCACGTTTTCACGAGCTACGTAACCCTTAATTTGAGCCCAGATCAATTCTATCGGGTTTAACTCGCAATGGTAAGGAGGAAGTCTCCACCACATGCTGGCGATATCTGTCACGATGCTGACACTCATGACATTCATAAGATCGGCCGTAACCATGTCCTCTGAAAATGGAATTCCTTTTTGTCCTAACCAACTCTGCATGTCTGCTTTTCTGATGGTCATAGTTGGCAGCTGTTCTGCTAATCGGCTGTGATAAGAAGCGTTATCCATTACTATTACCGCATTTGGCTCGACTCGTGAAAGAAGGGATTCAAACCATCCTTCAAAGCGTTGGACGTCCATGTCTTCGTGATAATCCCCCGTTTTTTTGGATAAAAAAATTTGTGCACTATCGTCTAAAAAGCCACTCTCGACTCGCCCATATAGGTGTCGACTAATTGTCGCCACCTATACTCGTTGGTCCGCGTAACCCTGTTGATAAACTGTCCACAAATGCTTGAAGATAACTAGTTACAGTAGTATCTTGCCAGATCTTAGATACTGTGTGACCAGCATTCACCCACGTTTCGTCCAGATAATAAATCTTTTTGTGAGCAGAACGCATTTCTCTAATAGAGCGAAGATATCTCCGTCGCCATAAGACTATATGTTCTCTTTCTATTAAGACAGATTTACGGAATCGTTTGGCATATATAAATTTTAAATATTTTTTTAAATATTCTAGGAACTAATTAATGACAGTTATACCTGAGTTTAACGAACATTTATACCTGAGTTTAATGTCTAGGTCAACTAATTATCTCACAATAAAGTGTGAATGTGAAGAAAATATATGATAATGTATTTTGAAAAACAAGTATCGGCCAACTCTATCTTAAATTTCAAAGTTAATAAATATAACAGTCTATTTAATAAATATAATAAAATATATTTAATAAATACAAAACAAAGTCACCTTCACAAGAAACAGAACACACTTCGCTATGGAGATAAGGACGCTTGATAATGAAGAAACCAGATGACTATTAATGGCATTTTACGGACGCAAATATAATAGACCTGCGAAGTGTTGATCAGTTTATCGATGATTCAAAGTATTTAACGAACTGGTTCACCTATTCGCTCATACATCCTATCGATATGCCGAAGCTATCTTGTTACAGGTGGCAAATTTTATGGAATCATCTTACTTTTCAGTTATTCACAATGGCGATACATAGACAATAAAAATGACCCCTGTAAGAATTTAGTTCCAACATTTAACATTGTGGCCGTTAGCTCTCAGTTTAATTTGTATATAAGTTACCTTCAATTGAAAATTGTTATACTATAGGTATTATCCCTGAATACAGCAAGTACCTACATAAAACGCTGTTCTTCGACTTTGTGGGATAATTGTGTGAATGTGTAATAAAATAGGCAAAGATTGCTCAACAACGTGCTCGTCCTTCTCCAGAATAAATATCATTAGTAAATTGGAAGATGTGCCATTTGAAGAATTGTCTTTGATCATCTCTTGCATATACTAGGACATGCCTACCGACCCGCGAGAAATTTTGAGGTTAATGTAGTTAATGCAGTTTCACAAACTCGAGTACAGCTTTAAATAATTCCTAATTAAAACCAACTGGTAGCAAAAAACTTGGGTTAGAATAATCTTCGATCACTCAGCTCTAGGATAAAAGAAAAACACAATTAATTGCCGAATAAATATTGATGCATAGTAAAAGATGAAGATAATCTAGTTTATGCATTAATCGCGATTAAAATGCTATGGTTCATATAACCCTCACTGTTAGAAAACTTATGTTGGTAACCTTGTCAGACCATTGAAAAATTCGCACCTTCTGTAAGTTCAACAACAGAAATATCCATGCAAATAAAACAAATTGTAATTCATAATAATTTATTAAAGCAATTATTTTCCCAAATACAATTCTCTTTCCCTTAATCTTGAATGTCTATAAATGTTTTTTTGAAACATTTCTTAAAGAGTGTGTCAAGCTGTTATTTGTGCAAATTGAAACAAAAAGTGGGAGATAATTAAAGTTATATCTATATCTATATTCAATAGGTATGTCATGAAGCACTGTAACATTTTTGATTACCTTTCTATTTTAAGTATATATGTTAATTTTAAAAAACAATACCACATTCATTATAAATACAAATATTTCATCAGTGTTCATTATCAATAAGCTAGTTCAGTGACTTCAGAAAGTATTACGAAATCTTGATGAAGTCAAACTACAATTATCTTTCAGGAATGTATGATTTAACTATAGGACAGTCAATGGGTCTTGTTGATGTTTTAACAGTCATATAAGATACACCGACATCTCCATCCAAAAACCAATCACATTCATCTGACAAATCCTTACAAGTTTCTTATAAAATTCATAGCTCAACATTTTCTGTGTGAAGCTTTCTGAAAATGGTAATAATTAAATGCAAAAATTATTAAATGAAGATGATCTAAGAAAAAAAATTATATCAAACTATAGAAAGATCCCGATGATGATACACAAAATCAAGCTGCTGGAATATAATTCCATGAAAATCAAAAGATAAATAAATAAGTACCATTCTGATCATTCTCACATTGATTTCNCAATTGTTCGAGTTAAAATGGTTTGGAGCCTAATACAGAAATTCTGCTGGTATGAATTCATCAATTTGAAGAAATATTTTTTAATCCAGGTTTGTTTTTCTCCAAAAATGTAAATTAAAATCTATAAAATGGATTTCCCGTAAGAAAATGAAAAAATATTAGTACTCCTTTCTGAATCAGTCCCTGGATCTGACTACTGATCCATCAAACCATTTTTTTATATTTTTATCAAGAAATATTCCATTTAGATTATTTGTTCAAAGCTCCAATAATTCAAACACTTGTTAATGAATTATGATTAATATACAGAAAAGATAAATTTGAAAATAAAAACAAACAATAATGAATTCTGTAAAATGATTTGATACATATAGAACCTAAACATATTTCAATGTAATAAACAGAATTATAACATAGCATAGCAAGAAAAATTTGTTATCTTTAAGACAAATCATCAAAAACATTCATATTCAGCATCGATATCTTCCATTAATGGAAAATAAAAGAAGGGCGGGCAGTTTGTGAAGAATTAGGTTCTATAACTGTGTGAAAAATATTTCGACATAAATATAATTTAGAGACTTCATGAATATAAAATTCTCAACTTGCTATTTAAAAATCATAATATAAATCATGTAGTATATATAATTTTCTTTAAGGACATTTCAAGAAAGTTTTGATCAGAATCTATTGATCAACTGTCTTTTTAACTGGATACCTTGTAGAAAAGAAAACGTATTTAATGTGTACAGTGATCCAGTCTCAGACAGACTCCAACTAACCATAATGAGATACAGAGTTACTGATAATGAACGTGAATCACATGAGCTGTTATGGTAGATGCTGATCTCCAAACAGTTGAAATTACTTTCATACATTCTTAGCATATTTATTACCCACCTCATCAGCTTCAAAAGACATGTCTAAAGATTCCCTAGATCCTCTTCGAGAGGTTTTATCTTTTATACTTCCTGATTTCCTTTTATCTTCGCCCAGGAGATTTCTTGAATGCTTTACGATATCTAAAGCCTATAACAATTCATAAATATCAGTACAATGGCAAATAACTGAAGTAATAACATCATAATTTCCCACAAAAGAATATTGATATAATGATACTTATATAACTATTCATTGAAAAAAAGCCATTCAGTATACATTGTGGTTCATTGAGTGTGAAACAAATAAAATTTTGAAATGTTATTGAAATTTGAATACTGCCAGAAGTTAGGGAATATTCAATAACCATATTGAATCTACTTAGCTAGACTTCAACAGCAAAAGCAGTAAGTCAGGTCAAAAAATATTAAATTTGTTCAAAAATGAATTACCTTTATTCCAAGAAATACAACAAAATGTTATTTGGAAAAGTTAGCTGGACTTGAAAGTTAATCTCAAATTCAGTCATGAGAACCCATGTAATTTTTTATTAACATCTGTAACCACAATCGAATCAATTTGGCATAAGTTTTCTCAAGTTTCCGTGTATTTATAAAATTAGTTTTCAGATATACTTTAACAAATAATCGCCAACTTCATGTTGGATTCAACAACATTCAACAGAATTTGAATGTCAAATTTCACAAATATTTTTCATCAACATGGCAAATACTCCAGTTATAGTAATATTGTGCATAAGAGAAAACACAGAATTGAAGTTTAAAAGTATCAAGAAAATGCTTCAAATAAAACAGATATCAACAAAGAATACCATCGGTTTCGAGTTTGAATCTGCCGTTGGTTAGACATTTTTTTCTCTCAAGAAATCATTCATTTGATGGTGGATTTATTTTACTACAGTACATGGCTAAAAGGGCGGCAAATGGCCGTGATAATTTTATAAAATGTTAGGTAAAAACACCTTTTAATGTGTAATCTTAGTTCATAAGCAATTGGATTTCCCCTTTTTGGTTTTCTCTTTGCTTCTTTTATTGTTCATCTAT